ACCTTGGCAGTGGCGGGCTGCACAGGCTCCTGGGAGGGGAGGTGTGGATAGTGACCTGTGCTTGCACACAGGCTTCTTGGTGGCTGCAGCAGCCTTAGCGTCTCCTACCTCTCTCCGGTGTCAGCGCTGATACCCGCGGCTCACGCCCGTCTCTGGAGCTTGTTTAGGGGGTGCTCCGAATCCCCTCTCCTCACGCACCCCAAAACAATGGTCTCTTGCCTCTTAGGCAGGTCCAGACTTTTTCTCGGACTCCCTCCCGGCTAGCTGTGACGCACTAGCCCTCTTCAGGCTGTGTTCACGCTGCCAACCCCAGTCCTCTCCCTGGGATCCGACCTCCGAAGCCCAAGCCTCAGCTCCCAGCCCCCGCCCACCCCGGTGGGTGAGCAGACAAGCCTCTCGGGCTGGTGAGTGCTGGTCGGCACTGATCCTCTGTGCGGGAATCTCTCCATTTTGCCCTCTGCACCCCTGTTGCTGTGCTGTCCTCTGTGGCTCTGAAGCTTACCCTCTGCCTACTCTACCCCGTCTCTGCCAGTGAAGGGGCTTCCTAGTGTGTGGAAACCTTTCCTCCTTCACAGCTCCCGCCCACTGGTGCAGGTCCCGTCCCTATCCTTTTGTCTGTTTATTCTTTTTTCTTTTGCCCTACCCAGGTACATGGGGACTTTCTTGCCTTTTGGGAAGTGTGAGTTCTTCTGCCAGCGTTCAGTAGGTGTTCTGTAGGGGTTGTTCCCCATGTAGATGTATTTCTGATGTATTTGTGGGGAGGAAGGTGATCTCCACATCTTACTTCTCTGCCATCTTGAAGGTCTCCTCCTGGCCTTTAAAATAATATAATTTTAGAAAGAAGCTTAGTTAACTGCTATTTCATTTATACTGACTGATAAAGTTTTGAATGTAGCCTAGCCATTGTTTTATTATTCAGGTAATTATCTACACAGTGTTTCACCAACCTTGAAGCTAATTCAAATGTGAGAGATTTTAACACATTTCTTAATTGGGAAAAACTAACAGGCTTAATGGGCATAAGAAGAATTCTTACTTTCTTCTTTTTGTCAGGCACTTGAAAACAGTAGTACAGAATAAGTAAAACTGTGAGTCTTGAATCTCATTTCTTCTGGCCAAAGAAACCTAGTCAGGAAACACTTTATACTAAAAAAACTAGTTTCCTTCTTTAAAAGATGATATTTTTAATTTCAAAATCTTCTTTTGAGATACAGTCTTTTGTATTTAGTTTTGATTTACATAGGACACATATAGAATACACACACACAATTCTCTATGTACTCATCTCTATATGCTTTGCATCTTTTCAATAGGTTTAAGGCATTTACAAAATAGAGCACTGTGATATACCATATATTTGAGGCAGTGAGAAAGATGAGGCAACGGATGGACGATGAAATGGAGCCATGAATGAGGACAGGACAGGAAAAACACACGAGGAAGTCCTCATACTTCTTAAGAAGAGAGGGCCCCAATTTGGTCCTGAATTTTTCCAGCAGTCTGCACAGAGTGAAATTTGATCAGGAACATGAGTCACTGGGTCCATAAAATGAGAGCAGAACAACTGCTCTGGCAGAAAGCTGTGTTCAGTCTCTGAAGTTGCTCACTTTGGTTGAATATTCTCATCTCAAGTTGGGCAAGAGCCTGGACTAAGTGATTATTTGGAAGGAACCAAAAAAGTTATCTTTCCTCTAAAAAGCACAGTCCATCAGACTCTGTGACTGTGTAAGTAGAAATCCAGAGGGGTTGAGATTTAACAGCCCTATCTAATTACAGTTTTAAAAATTATTTCTCATAGATGATAAAATTACCTTTTCAATTATATGAGAGGAGAATTTAAAAACTGGTAATAAACAATAGGTATAGGAAAAAGAGGAATTAAAAAATAAAGACACTCTCAATACGGAAAGCTAAAAATTCAGAAATTCAGGCCATACTATATCTGAAATAAGCCATAAATTATTTAATATTCCTAACATCTTAAGCAATTTGAGAAGGTTGGGAATGGGGTGATCTCTGAGATCACCCTTCTGCCTTCAAATGTCAGGATGACTCCAGGTCAGTCATATCTCTTTTCTTGCAAGATGAGATGGTATCAAAATTGGTGGTTGCAAGAGGGAAGACAGGAGCTTTTGGCCATCTGATCACACTGATTCTAACCACAGAGGCAGAATTAGGCCTCCACCTGTAAAGTGTCCCTTTGGTAAAAGGCTTTTTCATGGGTTAAGGGCTGGCACAGTAAACAAAACCACCAGATGGCAGGAGTGCTCTCCGGATAAATAGAGCAGCCACACACCCTTCGGTCTTCCAACCACAAACTCTCCACTAGGTGACAGCAACATGAATATAATTGGAATAGCCATTAATGGGTTATATATATTTTTTAAAAAATTAATTCTTTTAAATCTGAGAGCAGCACTTTAAAAAGTATCCACAGCTGGAATTTTTTTTTTCTCTAGAAAATTACAATTCTAGTTGCTTTTAGAACTCCCACACACTAACCTAATACACAAAAGCAAAACAAAACAAAAAGCCCCTCAGATTTTTTTGGGGTGCAGTGCACTTTCTAAAGAACCTGGGAAAGATTACAATTTGAAACCATTATTATTTAAGAATTTATAGCTCCCAGTCTTAATTTTAAAAAATTTAAAAGAAGTGATTAAAATGGTCACTTCTTTGAAGATAATTATAGTTATTATTTAATGACCACCTACTATGTGCCAGGGGTTGTATTTAAATGCTTTTAAAGCATTAGTTCATTGAATTTGAATTGGAGCTTTTTCAGAAAGCCCGTATTTGAACTTAAGCCTATTTAGGGCCATCATCTCTGTATTTTCCATGATCTTATTATGCCTTTTCTGCTTGAGCCATTTTCAAAACCCATACTGAAGGAGAAATTGGAACTGCCCTCATGTTATGATTTTTAGTGCACACATGGATGTACTCTCTCTACTTATGACTTTCCCTCTCATGTAGATGCACAACATTTACCTGATGAGTGACAATAACATATTTTGATTCTTCAGTTATACTGAAGGCTGAAAATGAAGACTGGTTTGGGAGCAGTAGCAAAGTAGTAAACTCATCCAAGCTGAAAGACAAATGACTGGATAGTATGGTAGATGAGAGTACAGGAGGGCCAGAGGGAGCAGAGAAACGCTTGACTGGGCAGAAAAAAAGGGTAATGAGATGAAGTGGGCAGCTGCATACTTCTATGCTTACCTCTGCTTCGTGCTTTTAGAGAGCCTTACCTGTACGTGGCCTTGGACAGCCCAATGTAACCTGGTGTAGCACAAATGATTTCCATGTGGAGCAGAGATCTGAACACGTTTGAATCCCTTAGAGGCAAACACTGGACACTCAAGCTTTGAAAACAGAGTAATAGCAAGTTGTTGTCTACGAGGCATATGCAGTGAGGGGGTGCCTGCCCTCAGGAAGCCCCCAGGACCTTCACTGCTTCTTAATTCAGTTCTACTGGCATATGCAGTGAGGGGGTGCCTGCCCTCAGCAAGCCCCCAGGACCTTCACTGCTTCTTAATTCAGTTCTATCATAAAGAAGAGGAGGAATAAGAAATATGCTTAAGAGAATTTTTGTGCACAACGATTTTACTGTACAGTCACGCTGTATTTTAATGCACTTTATTTCAAGTATTTTTAAGAGAAATAACAACAAAATGATATGGCAACCCCAAAAGGGCAAAACCTGACTAATGGGAAGAGGAGAATGTCCCTTTTTTTTTCTGCCTGAGATAGTCTGGGGGCAGCAAGGAGTCTTGAATGAGGAGAAAGGAGTGGGGACGAGGGACTTAGGGAAGGGTGTCCAAGGAGAAAGGGAAGGGTGGTGACTTACTTCTCCTTCTGTGCCCAGAACCACGTTCCCAGGTATCTGCGTGCAAAGTAAGGTGACTTCAGGTGCTGATAAACCATGTTAGTGGTAAAGACTGCAGTTAACTAGGCAACTACTTACTAGGAGCCAGGCATTATTCTTATCTATGCCTCTTATTTAGTCCTTAGGCAAGCCCTACTGGGGAGGTGATATTATCCTTTTTCAGAGAGAATGACTTGCTCAGGGTCCAAGAGTTCTAGCAAAAGGCACAGTTAGTATTCAAGTTCTGTTCTCTTAGCATTCCCTCTGATTTTTTAGGGCCAGGGCTGTTGATATACCCTGACCGCCACCAGGGGTCACACTAGCCAATTTGGATCAAACAGTAAGCACAACTGGATCTAAATGTGATTAATTATATAACTATGGCCTGTCCAAGTTTAGGTCTATGAAAATTGCAACATGAAACTGAGGCATAAAGGATTACTGGGAAAATAAAAATGTTTGAATATCCCTACCCCTTTTTTTTCTGGCTTAAACAGGAATAAAGGAAGATAAAACAGCATGAATCCAACCCAACAGGCAGCATGACTAGAAGCTTGTATCCTGTATACCTGGCAGTTGGCCAAAAAATGATCTGCTCAACTTTCCTAGTGATGACAGGAGGGTGATAACAGTGTTTAAAAACCTGCTGTATAGCACAGGGAGCTCAGCTCGGTGCTCTGTGATGACCTAGATGGGTGGGATTGGGGTGGGGAGGGAGGTCTAAGAGGGAGGGGACATAGGTATCCATATAGCTGATTCGCTTCATTGTACAGCAGAAACTAACACAACATTGTAAAGCAATTATACTCCAATAAAAATGATAATCAAAAAAGAAATAAAAATATAAATAAAAACAAGGTGAATATAGTGTAGGAATTAGGACAAAGCTGCTGACAATTGTCGGTGCTGTTTTGTTCGCTATCAAAGTGTTTAAGTTTGGCTGTCTGTGTTAACTTTTTATTGGTTACAATCCCCAGAATTCTTGCTTCTCAAAGGACAAAGCTCAGGCTGGGATTCTTACAAAGGTTTCATAGGACAAAGTAGAGAAAGTTAGCATATCTCAAACAACGTTTGCATTCTACGAGACAATTACATTTGACTGAAACATCGACAATACATTCACACTCCGTAAACAAGTTTTTCTGCAAATGTTTATTTAGAAAGATTTTAAAGAAATGTCACTGTGTCTGTGGCAGTTTCTTTAGGTGAAAAAAGTGCTAACAGTTACTATGGAAACCAAGACGCAGGCAACGAGGAGCAAAATCAGACCTATACGACAATATTTTGAATGCTTCTCTTGTTCTTCTTCCTTTTTCAGTAAGGTATCAAAACCGGGTGTGTACATGTCTCCCAACCAAAACCGTAGGTCATTAGGATTTTCCTAAAAGAAAATTACACGAAGAATAGGATCAGTCAGTGTTACAGACTCAATGAGATTGCAGAACAAGACCGTATAGGTACTTTACGTCCATATTCACACTGTCCTAAGTGTCACTGCTCAAATAAGAGAGGCTAGGCTTCCTTGAATAGTAGGAACATGTAGCTACAGCCCCTGGCTGACCAGGAATCCTCAGCTTCCACCTGTAGGTCTGCATGAGAATTCATTAGGAAGTCTGCGCGGCTTACTGAATAAATTGCTCACATTGCAGGGTCAGAAACACAAGAGCGTTTCTGTCATCTTTTTGCTAATTTCGTGTCTCTTACAACTCATAAATACTGTGTGTCAATCAGGTTAGTGAGTTGAAATAAAATGAAAATTCCTTGCCTTAGCGGAGCCTTGGGGGTTTGATTTTGTTGGCATAATAGGGATAAAGATGTTTGCTGAGTTTTTCAGTAAATCCAGAAGCTGACTTCCATGGAAGGAGGAGTAAGACCAAGAGTAAAGAGTCTTTTCCATGCTTCTCAGTCTTCTGGTCTTCCTTGTAGCGGAATACAGCATGTTGGCATGCAGAAACTCTGGCACTGTTTGACCTTCTGGAGAAAGGACCCAGTATATCCTTTCCCACATCACCTCCTAGGCCCCATGTCTCTGATTCTTTCACTGGCCTTGTCTCCCATTCAACCCTGAGAAATTGTCTTCTACTCAATTTCATCTCCTACGTCCAATGAATCATATGCAAACTCTACTGTCTATACATGTAAAACATATATATACACACACACACATATATATTTTTTCCCTCCTATTTTCTCCTGCTGTTTTTCAGTGCTAATGATTCAGTGTCTATAACTGGCATCTGGTAGACATACAACAAATTTATGGTGAATTCTGAATCTCTATTTTCATAAACCCACTTCAGGCCTTATTATTTCTCATTTGGAGTATTGCAGTGGCTTGTAGCTGGGCTGCCCATCCTCTCTCTGCCTCTCTAGGCTCAGTGGACTTAAAGTCAGCCAGTTTCCATGGCTGGACACAAGGGTAATGAACTAGCTTCAGACTGCTAAAAGAGGAAGGGGAGCTGGGTGGATTCTGGCGATGGCAATATAACTCTTCCATCACATTGCTACTAGGTTCAACTTCCCAGTCTTAGAAAAGCGAAAACATTAAAATAAAATTTGGATGACCTGTGCAAAAGGATAGCTGATTTAAAAATCCTTGCCTACTTCACTCTTATCCTTCACTTGTGTCTGTGTCCTAATCAGAGGCCTGCACTTTCCCTGCAAGTTTAATGCCTCATTCTTCAGTAAGAACTTCCATAATGGAGACTATCCTTTCTTACATTCTGCCTATAGCTTGCCTTTGTAACTAAATATGGGCTTCTTTTCTCCTTTCTTATTCATAAAGTTAGTAATTTAGAAAAATGGGAGTGGCCAAAAGCACATGGAACTTTCATGGCCTGTAAAGTAGTTGAAAAGGTTTCAGAAATTAGGTTGGGGGCTCTGTCTGCTAATTAGGGGATATGGGTAGGGATGGTGATGAAAGAAGTTGAAATGATGAGGTCAAGAAGAGAACCTAATAAAAACAAAAGCCATGACTTCCAGAAGCATCTCTCAAAATAGCATCATGAGGTCTGCATACAAGCCTCTGACCTGACGGGCCTCTGCTCTGAGGTGAGTGTACAGGTAGAGGATGGGTGGGGAGGGGGCCGGCCCTGGCTTTCGTAAAGCAATGCATCCAGCAATTCACGTTCAGTCTTCCTAAGCATGTCATGGTATTGTCCAACAAAATATTACCCCTCAATGCCGATAATGTTCAGTTTCTTTAGCCTTACATTTGAACTTTTGTTTTCTTTTTGAGTCTGTTTGTTAGCCTTTCCCCCCCCCCCCCACTTTATTCTATTACTTAAACTGTAGCTCCAGCAAAACTGGACTACCTATTGTTCTGACAAACTCCCTCACACTCTTGTATATGTGCCTTCTTTCTTGCCACTTCTGACAGAAGAGGGCCTCTCCACTCATACAAACAACCTATGTCTTCTGGAATTGTACACACTCTTCAAGTCCAGCATAAATTAACTTTTTCATAAAGGCTTCTTTTAATCCAGTGGGACTTTGTCCTCTTCTGAATCTGCACAGCACTTTCCACTGTTCTTCCTATCCTCTATCCACTATCCTCTTCCTCCTCTGTCCTGTCTAGAGTTATTGTTACTTTGCTCAGTTAGATAAAATGTTGAGGGCAAGGAGAGTCATATTCATCTTCATAGTCCCTTTGTCATTCACGTAAACAACAAAGAAAAGAATAGAGGCTCTAGCATACAGTCAAGAAATGTTTGTGAAATAAATCAATACACTTTTTCCTAGTTGTAGAAGGTTGTTTCCTAGAGGTATTGATATTTAGATTCCTGATAAAAAAACACAAGATTATTGTTGCTAGGGGGGAGCATCTGTTATGGAAACGTCTCTGGAAAAGAGGCTACATTAAGGAGGAGATACACTAAATCCACTAGGAGACTAAGAAACTCCAAAGACTTTGGACACTATTTCAAGGAGTGCACACTTGAGATTTTAAAAAGTGTAGGACTTTAGAGGGACATAATGCTGTCCCCTTCAGCAGGAAAAATCTGTAGGTGATTAAAGTATGGGGTTTAGAACAGACATACATTGTTAAAGGAAGTACTTGGAAAATGTCAGACCTTTCTGGCCCTAGGGTGGGCAGAGGTAAGCTAAGGCTGGGTAGGAATCCAGTCCACTCAGAAAACAGAGGGCCTCTCTCCCTGCTTTTCAGGTATTCCTAGACCCTCTATTTGATGGGTGACACCAGGGGGAAAAAAAAGAAAAACCTGAATTGGGTTTAAGCTGGGTGAATGAGTTCATTGCATACTTTTCCTGTGTTGAAATGTTTTTGTTTTGTTTTGTTACTGAGACACAGGAAAATGTCCAAAATGTAAATTTGCAATCTTAAATCACTGAGTAGGCTTGAAATAAAATGATCTTTGATGAGAACTGCCTTGCACAGTGCCTAAGACAGAGCATTTAGTCAATATTTTTGAATAAATGTAGAATAAGGAACTCTTAAGTATTCATGAACATAGATGATCACAAAACTAGAGGAAAACATACTTAATCTGGCAAATTAACTTTCAAATCCTGATACCTTCCAGGTAAACCCTTCTTCTGTGTCACACCATTTCTTTCTCTCTACACCGTAGAGATGCTGGTAATTGCTGAAATTGTAAAACACAAAACACATAAATAAACATAACTACTGACTAGGAGAGAGAAAGTGAAGCCAGAGGCCAAAATGACCTGAAATCTGGAAATTTTGTGCCTAGTGAAGAGTGCCTTTCACCTCAGTACCCATTTCTTTTAGATTATTTAACTGATCTCCCTCATCAATTAAAGGAGTTGATTCTTTGCCTTGAGTACCTTCAGATGCCCAGAGAGGTTTGTGTGCAGGGAATGCTTGTCATATTCCTCAACGGTCCATGAAGGTTTCTTTTTTCTTTCTTCCACAGCATCCTCCAAACTCACATCACCGTATAGTGGGTTATTCTTCAGAACTGATGACAGGGATGGTGGGGGGCTCTCTGTGCTTACAGCACTCTCCACACTGGGTCTCCTCATTCGTTGAGCAGTAATATTCTTCTTCTCTCTCTGTCAGGAGGCACAGTGACAAAGTTTGTCTTACCAATGGGTCACTGATGACAAGGAAGGCAACGTGAAATAATTGTACCTGAAAGCTTGCTGATTCTGCCTGGAAGCCCAACAGATTAGGACAATGAATGAAGGAAGAATTCTAGGATCCAGTTTGACCTAGGATCCTACCATTAATTGAGTTATTTCTTTGCATGTGATCTTGTTGAGCTTCAGTAATCATTCATTAAAATGCTATTTTATAACAACAGAAAAAGGACAATGTTCTTTAATTCAAATAGTAGAATTCTAAACAAAGCCATTTCCCCCCAGCTTATTTGCACTGAGATTTGACACTTTATTTCTTTCTACTTGTGCATTCCATGACTGATTAAAAGAATTTAGCATTGTTGTATTAATCCAGCAAAATCAAGATTAAAAGGCATTTTATAGATATGCCTTGGCTTTCATGGGAACTCCTTTAGGACTCTCATTTCAGGCAGCTTGGAGAACTGGACTAACTTAGCATTGCACTCCTATATGTAGCTATTGGAAGGCTCTAATTCTGACTTCTAGATGTTTAAAAACTTTTTTTTATTAAAGCATGATATATATGTAGAAAAGTGAATATATTATAAAAGTGCATATATTATAAATTTTCATATACCAAATAAACCCAAGATACTACCAAGAAACAAACCATTACCAGCACACCTCATGCTGCCTTCCAGTTACTATCCCTCTCCCTCCCTAAGGATAACCAGTAGGATAACAGCATAGGTCAGTTTGTATTCAATTATGTAAATGGAATCATGCAAAGTGGTTTTTCTGTGTCTGGTATGACCTTCATATTTTTACTCTGCTTTTTTTTCTTATGACTACAAAACTATCACAAAGGTAGAAAAATTTTATATTAAAATTTGTTCATTGGCCAAATAAAATTGAGAAGAAAAAAAAGTTTATAGTAACGTCTCATTTATGATGGGGCATCATGGGAGAGGAACTCCACATAAGTTAATTTTTGGAACACTTCGGTTTAACCCTTAAAAACTGGTGACACATTTCATTAATTTACAGGAAATTTTTCAATAAATGTGTTTCACATATTTCAGTCTTCTTAAACAGAGAAGTTTCAATAGCAAATAATATTTTTCTGAGTTATATTTTTAATCATTAATACACTGATTCCCTCAGTATCTATTGGGGTATATAGGTCACATTAAATATGTGTTTATATAAGCTAAGTTGTGAACTAATATTATATGTAGTTTCCTTCTGAAATGGCTGGCAAAAAATCATCTAGATAAAACCATTCACATTCTCTTTGGCCTTAGGTTTATCTAATTTTCTTTGTCCAGACAGTTTTTACATACTTAGTGATCAACTTGGAGATCATCTCTGACTTTCAACTTGGAGATCATCTCTGACTTTATTAGGTCGTTGGTCTGCTCAAAATCAATTTATATTCCATAATATTGAAGTTTGTAATGAAATAATAAATCATCTTGACTTAGTGTTTATCTTTAAGATGGATGACCTCATGAAAAATGTTTCTGAATTGAGAAAAAACAACTTGATACAAAATTTAGATAGTTTCAGTTTAGCATAATTCTGACTCAAGTTTTTTTCTTCAAGGCTAGATATCTTTGATTATCTTTGAAGAGAAATAATTCTTCTGACATTGAAAAATTGACTTTGTCAGTTTTCTTGCCTGCTGGACTATTCCTTGAGCTTCTTAAATAAGAAAGCTCTATAAATCAGAAAAATACAGTTTCGGGGGTTAAGAAAAAATAATACTTTCTATTACAATGTATAAAGGTCTTGAAAAACTAATATACAAAAGACAGAAAAATAATCAGGGCTATTTTTAAAAGAACATTCAAGCCATTAATTCTAAACTATATTCCTGAATGTTTGATGCTCATCCTAGAACTTGGTGCCATTTATTTTTGCATTGCATGACAATTTCATGTCTGAAGGACATGTGAAGGGAAAATTAATAGAATAACTTTATTAAGCATTTTATGGAAGAAATAGAAAATACTAATCATGGTTGAGGTTCTTTTGTATTTTGATATATTTTTTCAAAATCTCTTAAGAAAGGAAACAAAGCATGTATTTGAGTTTAACTTTTCACTCCACATTCTAGATGGACTACACTTAACAAAAGGAAACTCAACAGTAATTCCATTATTTTACTCATATAAGCTCTAAAATAACTTCTTTTTAAAAATACTTAAAGTAACACTTCAAAGTTTACCTAGGCTCTTCTGTATTAACCATTACTTTGTCCATTTACCCTTTATATACTTTAATCATTATTTATGTCATTTATGTATAAGTAAGCTATCATTTAATGGAAAGAGTGATATAGAAGACTTTCAGATAAACACTGAGAATATACAATTAATAGGCCAAAACAGAAGGAATCTCTAAAAAATGTACTTCAGTAAGAAGAAACCTGATAATAAAATGAAAGATTAAGAGGCAGGAAGGAATGCTAGGCAAAACAAAGAAAAAAAAGAAAAGAAAAGAAAAGAAAAAACTGACAAATATATACAGAAATCTAAGGAAGCACTGATTTTATGGTAAAATAGAAATAAGAATAACCACTAATTTGTGAGTTTTAAGATAAAAGAAAACTGAAACTGTACAGTTAAAAGTTTAACAGATATATTTAATTAGGAAATTTTAAGAAATCATTTCAGTGAGAGTATTGAGATATTACTAAAAAATAGAGAAAGAATGTATAGCTTCTAAATTGGTAGATCAGAAGAAAAAGGATAGAGGAAAATTAATCTAAAAGGTAAGAAACCTGAAACAAAGAATATAGAGGAGAAAGTCTTAGGAAAATAGAAAAAATTTTGAAATAATCATGTTAAATGCAAATAGACTAAACCCTCTATTTAAATGACAGACTGTCATATCAGATTTTTAAAATTAAATTTAATTATATAATATTTACAAGAGAAATACCCAAAATATAAGGACTCAGAAAAAATGAGAGTGAAAGTATAAAAAAAGATATAGCAGGCAAATATAAAGAAACAAGAGCTGGTACCTGACTGGTTAGATACTCAGCAATTTTGTTTTCCCTTCCTGAGTACAAGGGATGACTGCCTTTATTAGGCTGTTTGAAGTTAAACTGGGGCCAGCTCTTCTGATGATGTGTGGACAAAAGTAACAGAGACCACTTCCAAGCTGAGCCCCTGAATTCTCCAAGATTTTTGGCTCACTCTTCCTCACTTTCCATTTTTGTGTCACTGTAAGCAAGGATTCTGAGATGGCAGGGTTTTAAGATGAAAGAACTTCAAGCCCTAGGATACTGCTTGGAAAAGAGTTGCCCCCCAAACCCATCTACCCTTCCTCAGACATGCACAAGAATGCTTTTCTTCTTTTTAGTTAGAGATATTTTGTCATTACAGTGTAGCCTAGCCTACGTTCCTTAATACAGAAAGTGATATCTTGAATTTCTACAAATGTGGGCATTGGCTTAGCAGGCAAGAAGTGGAAAGGGATGAAAGGGATATTGGAAGCCGGATTGATGGTTATTCACATAATACAGTGAAAAATGTTTGGTATAAGTGTCATCTGTGGTCATTTGGAATCTAATCCCCTGTAGCTGTATGAGAGGTATTATAAATAATCAGAGCATTTATGTACAAGGAACACAGTGCTGGTGTAATACAAGAAAAAGATGACATTAGAGAAAGAACTGAATAGTTTCCAAGAAGAAAGAGTAGAGAAACTCTGGAAATTTGATGCCTTCTATTGTTAAAAATCTGACTGTTTATAGACCTCAAACACTAAGATATAGAATCATTTAAAAAAATGGATTGAGGAAAAAAAAAAAAAGCGGATTAAAGCTTCTTAGCTGGGACTTCCCTGGTGGCGCAGTGGTTAAGAGTCCGCCCACCAATGCAGGGGACAGGGGTTCGATCCCTGGTATAGGAAGATCCCACATGTCGTGGAGCAGCTAGGCCTGTGTACCACAACTACTGAGTCTGCGCTCTAGAGCCTGTGAGCCACAACTACTGAAGCCTGCACTCCCTAGAGCCTGTGCTCCACAACAAGAGAAGCCACCGCAATGAGAAGCCCGTGCACCGCAACAAAGAGTAGCCCTCGCTCACAGCAACAGAGACCCAATGCAGGCATAAATAAATAAATAAATAAATAAATAGAAAAATCAAATGAAACATTAAAAAATAAAATCAAAGTTCTTCGCTGAACGAAGTGACTCAGGGTAAAGGTCCTGTTAGGGTGTGGTTTCAAAACTATTATTCCTGACTGCCTCCAGGTGTTTGTCATTGAGTTAAAGGATGGAGAAATGGAGGTAGAAAAGCAAACCATTAAAGCTTACTTGAGGGACTCCCCTGGTGGTCCAGTGGTAAAGAACCCGCCTTCCAATGCAGGTGACGCAGGTTCGATCCCTGGTCTGGGAACTAAGATCCCACATTCTGCAAGGCAACTAAGCCCATGCGCCACAACTACTGAGTTTGCGCATCTCAACTAGAGAGCCTATGTGCCGCAAACTACATAGCCCACGTGCCCTGGAGCCCACACCCCACAAGTAGAGAGAAGCCTGTGACGGGAGAGAGGCCCGAGAGCTGCAACGAAGACCCGACACAGCAGAGGGAAGCCCTCGCGACGCAGCCAAATAAAAGAAAAAAAGCCTATTTGAGAGCTATGCCTTAAGAGAACTTTATGTGTGTTTATTGACCTATAGGCCTGACCGCAACAAAACAGATATGATTACATTAATAAATAGCTCACACTAAGTTTTATAAGATATGTATCACTAAAGAAACCACAAGCCTAGAACTAAAAGCTTTTGATTGTTCAAAATTATAAAACAAAACAATAACCCTATGCCTCCAAATATCCATAAGTAGGAGTAAATTTTGAAGCTTCTACAGCCTCAAGGGAGGGCCCACTCTGATATAGCAAAAGAGAATGATGAACAAGGGGCAGCTTCCTAGCAGGTAGGACTGGGGACCCTAGAGAACAATGCAGCAGGAAGT